TCAGCCATCATTTCTCCAAGCTAAAAACCCCAAGCACTTTAACCTTTCTTCATAGGGAAAGTGTTCCAACCTTTTTTTATTTTTTTGCCTCCACATGGCCCTGACCTGCAGATTTAAGTATCTGCAGATCGATTCTACCACAAGCCATTGCCTGGAATTCACTTAGGCACAGTAGCAAACATAGGTTTCTGACATCTGCCCTTGCTCCAAAGAGCTTAGGGCACTTTACATGGCTTTCATCTTCCTCAAAACCCAGTGGGGTTGGTGAAGCAGGGAGCATCTGACTAGCCCAGACTAGTCTCGAGGCAGTCTGCAATGCCCTTAAAGGGAGATCACCTTGGTCTGCAAACATTTTCTTTCATCATGTATAGGATGCAAGGGAGGGCGAGGGGACTTCTGCAAAGTTCTTCATTTAGTACAGAGGAGGAACAGCCCAAATGTACACAGAACCTGCAGCAGCGATTTGTGAGTCTTGCTGTGTGTTTAACTTTGCTTAGCAACGGACTGTTTGTCTACCATTTCGCTCTACCAGAAATTTCAGCCTGGATTTTCCCTTTCCTTCAACCTGCCTTTTGCCCACTTATTCAGATAATAATTCTAACAAAGGAAGTTCTCGGGGTCATTTCCTCTGGTGTTTGTTCATTATTACCTACAAAATCAATAAACAACAATCAGAGGTCATTTCGGGGAGGATCGCAGTTCCCCCAGGTGAGGTACGGGGGGCGGGGCACACAACAAAGCCCCGCCCCCTGCTTCCGGCCGCCCCGCTTTTGGCCCTCATTCAGCCAGGAGGCAGAAGAGGGAGGGTAAGTTGCTTCCTCCCTGCCTCTCCCCACCCCTGCCTGCCTGGGGCCAGGGAGAGCCTTCACGGGGCTTCCTTGCACTCCCACCGGCCTTGCAGGTCCACCGCCGGGCCGTGTGGCCTTATGACACACTTCCGGTGATGTCAGGGGGTGTGGCATATGCTATTGAGTTATGCTAATGAGTTCCCCTAGCTCTTTTTCTACGAAACGACCCGACAACAATACTCTTCCCTGCTAGGTTGCTTTGTCTGGGATAGCATATCTTGGAAAGTTTCCATATCATATCACAAAACTGTGATGAGAAGGTCCTGCGACTGATGGACAAATCATACCCTACGTTCTCTTTAAGCCCCCCCCCCCCCAGTTTGTGAAATCTGATTTTTTTTTCTTCACCATCTTGGAATGGTTTATTTATTGTTGATGATTTGTGCATTTTATTGTAGGTAACCAACCAGGAGCGAGATCTTGGAGTTATAGTAGATAACTCACTGAAAATGTTGAGTTGGCTGGTAATGCACACACACATTTTCAAAGGTGCTCTGCACCCAAAAAGGCAAGAAGCAAGCTTATTGTTTTACATAAATGCTAAGATTCTCAAGAAATTGAACCCTGTAGCACACTGTATACTTTTTCTGCACCTGTACCGAATTGTGGCATACTGCTACCTGATGCCTTTGTGAGGATTTTGAAGAGTGCCAAACATGGTAGATTGCAGTGGAAAGTGTTATCAAATCGTGGCTGACTTAAGGCAACCCAGTAGGTTCTTAAAGGCAAGAGTCATCCAGAGGTGGATTTGCCATGGCCTGCCTCTGTGTAGCAACCCTGGACTTCCTTGGTGGTCTCCCATCCAAGTACTAACCAGGGCTGACCCTTCTTAGCTTCCAAGATCAGGCTCGTTTGGGCCATCCAGGTCAAACAGCAGTTTAAGAGGGGGTAAAAAAGTTAGTCCGGACTTCATGGCTTTACCATAATTAACTGGGTCCAGAATGCACCCACATCTGGCCTTAAAGGTATACATAGAAACAAGTTTTCAAAAATGGAAACTCTCTCCATAAGAATGGCCCCGAGTTTTGTTATTGTAACTTCTATGTTAGATTTTCTGTAGCGTCTATAATAGCTGAGAGATTAAATACTGTTTGTAGAAATACATTTCCTTGGTTCAGGCTGCCATTGTGAAAGGATGTATACTAAAAAAAAAATGATATCAGAAAATATGTTTTGAAGACACAGGAAATACCAACCAGCAACCAAGTATTGTAACATTTTTGGACACAGAAAAGGCATTTAATAGAATAGAAAGAAGCTTTTCTGGTCATGCAGGTAGAACAATTCAACAGCTGCAGTAAAGGTTGTGTACATGGATCTCAGTGGATTATAAACATTCAACAGATTTTTTTAAATGGCACTCTGCCTCAGAATATGGAATTAGAAATGAGAACATAGGAGGGACGCCCACCATCTTTGCAGTCCTCCATGGGCCACAGCTGCCCTCTTCCTCCCGTACGCATATTGACCCATAGTGTTGTTTCATATTAAGAGAAGCAGGGGGCTGTGCCTCAGTGGCAGGACATCTGCACAGCAGGCAGAAGGTCGCAGGTTCAATCCCTGGAATCCCCAGTAGAAAGAATCAGGTGCTAAGTGATGTGAGACCCTGAGACCCTGGAGAGCCATTGCCAGTCTGAGTAGACAATACAAGCCTTGACAGACAAAGGGTCTGATTCAGTATAAGGAAGCTTCATCTGTACATATGAGGAAGAACCTGAGGCTCATCCACAGCCAAAAACAACAACAGAAAAGAAGAGACATGAGCAAGGAAGAATACATAAGGGGAGTGCCAAGTCAAGTCATTTATCCTGTGCACACCTAGTTGGGGGTAAACCTCAGTGAACATGAGAGAGCTGTCTTCTGCGGAGAAGGGCCTAAGACTGAACTGGGAGAGAGCAAAGAGAGCCTCACACAGAGCAACGATCATCACTAAACAAGGCTAAATGACAACGCTTCCCTGATTCGCGGAAATCTATATCTCCCTCTCCCCAGTCTTCAGTCCTCTAACCCTCCAGAAGTATATTTTCATATTTAAAGCAATCTCTTTGCTCAAATGAACCAATTAAAAAATTTTTGTTGATGGTTTCCCTTTAAAAACTTTCAGTGTTGATTTTCTTCTTTTCTAAAAAATTACTTTCAGTGTTGATTTCCTTCTCTTAAAAAACCCCTCTTTTTCCAGTGTTGACGGTTTCTTTCTGCTTTCTCTCACAACCCTTTTCCAAGCACAATCTCTTTGGGTGAGTGTCCCTGGTATTATTTTTTAAATAAGGGCAATAAGTGAAGCTGTGGACTTTAATGCCTTTACGTGCAACTTTTCTATAGCCTTTTCATGGCTGTCTTTTTACATTTAATTTTGGCAGAAATCACTGAGGTTTAAGCAGAAGGCTTTGGGATTAATTTGAGGAGAGTTAAGAACAGCACATTTTCAGATGTATTTTTGGGGAAATCTGTGCTTTGCTGAAGAAGATGACGATAAGACACAAACCTAGTAACTTTTCAGTTTTTAAAAAAAAGGACAAAAAAGCTGCCTGGATGGGAGACCACCAGAGAAAGCTCTACAGAGGAAGGCGATGGCAAATGACCTCTGCTTCTCACTTGCCTTGAAAGCCCCTTGCTTGGGGTTCCTGTAAGCTAGCTGCAACTTGATGGCACTTACATACGCATTATTAATGCATAATTCTTGGATATTTAAGGCTGCAGCTAGTGCAAGGGACCTCAGCCTTTTTGAACCCGTGGGCCAGTTTGGTGTAGTGGTTAAGAGTGCGGACTGTAATCTGGGAGAACCGGGTTTGAATCCCTACTCCTCCACATACAGCTGCTGGGTGACCTTGGATCGGTCACAGTTCCCTCAGAACTGTTCTCTCAAGAGCAGTTCTCAGTCAGAGCTCTCTCAGCCCCACCTACTTCACAGGGAAGGAGATTGTAAGCCTCCCTGAGACTCTGAGTGAAGGGCAGGGTATAAATCCAATCTTTCCTTCCGAATTATAACACAAAATGTCCACCCTGGGAGGTGGCGCTCCTGTATACACAGAGAAGGAGCTCAAATGCAGAGGACAAGAAAAGCAATTTTTTAAAACAGCAACAGAGAAAAAAACGACACTGTAATGGCAGTTTTTTGTAATATTGGGGAGCCATAAAAAGAGAAGATTGGATTTATACCCCACCCTTCACTACCCGAATGAGTCTCAGAGCGGTTTACAATCCCTTTCCCTCCCCACAACAGACACCCTGTGAGGGAGGTGGGGCTGAGAGAGCTCCGAGTGAACTGCCCTTGAGAGAACAGCTCTGAGAGAACTTGTAACTGACCCAATTTCACACCAGCAGCTGCATGTGGAGGAATGGGGAATCAAACCTGGTTCTCCCAAATTAGAGGCCGCACTCCTAACCACTACACCAAACTGGCTCTGGAGAGTAAAGAGTCAGCATGTACGTAAGAAGCACAGAGCAGTCATAGCAGACCCCAAATACAGACAGAGGCTGTAGGACTGGGGAGGGTCACCCCACACACACTTTCACAGGTGAAATGGTTGAACTAAGCATTGGAAGGTTAAAGTCACTGCTAGTTTCTTTCTCTGTTCCCCACTGAAGCTTCAAGCTGCTGGGTGAGGAAGCATTTCAGATCAAGGAAACGAGGAGGGGGATTACACTTCCCCCATGCTGGGTGTTAATCAGTCCATATACGCACAACTACTTTTTTGCAGTCAGACCGTTTATCCACAGCGTAATTTGGCCTTTTGTGAAGAATCTGAGTCGATGACGTGGCAGTTAAATTCCTACTTTCTCTTCTGGTTTTTTCTCGTTTCACATTTTTAATAATTGCATTATAAAAGTGTTTTACACAGACTTATGGCATAACAATTGACATGTAATATCTGCATCAGTTAAAATAAAAATGTTAGCTTTTTACGACATGAGCTTATGCCGAGTAGAGTCAGTTAAACGCAGTTACAAAAGAACCTTCACACACACACACACACACACACACACAGACGTCCATCCTTCATATGTTCACAGGTTAGGAGTCAGCCAGTCAGTTAGTAGTTTTTCCAGCGGGTTTCGGCCCATCTACTGAGCACTCGCTGCAGTCTCAACGCACGCTTCCTGAACGACGAATGGGTGCAACTCGGAGACTGCAAATGCGCAGCCTGTATGTTCTGTGCCATGATGCGGCAATAGTTGGCAATTGCTTGATCTCTGTGGAGAGGAAGAAGAATGCAGAAAGGATCACTCGCAGAAGAAGGAGAAGGACTGCATGGAGGGAAAGTAATGTTCCCCCCCGGTAGGGTTGCCAAATACCTTTTGTTCCACGGTGGGGGGCTCCTGGACGGCGTCTTGAGCGCGCGTGCCGTATGCACATCAGCCGGATGTGACGTGCTGACGCTGGGCACGCTGGCTGTGGTCCCGCCCCCAGCACGTCACCGCGGGCTGACGTGCATGCCGGGGTGGGGTTTCCCCCGGGGCCTGATTCCGCGGCGGCGGAAATCGGGCCTCCAAAGCGGGGGGAAATACGCCCCCCGGGGGGAATTGGCAGCCCTACCCCCCGGGCAGCCCACTTCAGAGCTGGAAAATGGCTTCCAAAGTGGCGTCAGATTTAAGAACTGAAAAGGCCTCTGGAATAGCTGGTAAGTGCGACTAATAGGATGTCAAATATTTGTAGAGCACCTTCGGGTGCTTTAAAACATGTTGCCCCCCCCCCACACGCCATAAATAAAATGTGTGTCTGGGGGTGAAACACCAATGTTGAGCATTGATATAAATTTGGGAAAGCGAACAGAGATGGTGGGGAAGGGAGTCCGCTGCCCCGTATCCATGCAGTAACAACATTTCTGGGGACTTGAATTTTACCTCTGTGTGGACAAAGCTGAAACTGAGATATATCAAATCACGATTTCTGCACTATTAAAAGTCAACAAATGACAACAGTAGTGCAACTGGTGCCTGCTTCATGCAAGGCCCTAACCCACTGCAATGTCAAGGCATGTTCATAAACAGTCGAACTGCTTAAGCTGAAGGCATCACATCTCTAGCTGCCAAGTTTAAATGTTAAGCGTAGAATTCCCTCTTCATTTCAGGTGCATTCAAGTGTATTTT